GTAGTTAAGTTTAATATACTGAATGGAAATCTGTGTATTACAAAGTTGTATCAAGAAAAATAAACTGGTTTAATTAAGAAAGGACTTGTATCGCTGAAGTTCCCCGGAAGGAAATTATACCGGAAATTAACAAACAAGCACATACGTAACAGTTCCATACGATTATCAACTCAAACTCGTCTTGTAACAGCTTGTATTACATGGTATAATTACATAATAATATTAAAGCTAACTTCATATAAACAATTTCATAAATAGTTTAGAGATTTTTAAAAGTTATCCGAGTTTTTAATCCAATTTTAATTAGAAAAACAATAAAAACGAAAAAAAGTGCAAGAGCAATACAAATGAGGAAAAACAAAATCAAAATGGAAAACAGGATCGGAACTTCCATTTATCAACACATTGTTCTTTAATGGATGAAACTTGTATAAAACATACCAGTTATTAAGTGTTCCTCGTTGTAATGTTATAGATTTCATTCCAGTGATGCATCACTTTTCGCCTTGGTGGTTTTGTGATACGCGATCACATCACCATTTTTCCAAGTTTGGCATTTAGCGTCATCAAACCACCATTTAAGAAAATCATTAGGCTTGTACGTCTGCGTAAGTTTAACTGCTTGAAGTTTTTCACATAGGCTGCATATCCAACTCTTCACTGTTCTATTCTGAACTTCATAGTTTTCCTTCCATTTCAAATACTTCTGGTAAACCAGTTTATCTTGACTTATATCCACTAAATGTTTTGCCAGACTGGCAGGAGAATACTTCAAGGCATCTATATAGGAATCGGAAGGTAATATGTTTTTGTAGTCTGCACCACCAAAAACTACTGGTATCATTCCACTATCCATTGCCAAATATAACTTTTCTGTTGCATAATCTTTACATATTGAATTTTCAAAAGAAAGATAGAACCTATATTTTGTCGCCAGGTGGTTATAACACAAGTTTCGAAACATCGCATTAGACTTACCAACACACAATTCATCTCCACACTCACCAAAGATATCTACACTTATGTGTTTCTTTAGCTCTTTAACATAATCTTCTCGACCTCCAGTTGTCTTGCAGTTACTGACCACCCAACTGACTGATGTGGTATTTTCAAAAAAGTTAGCGAGTTTCACGTATTTCTTCTGTTTACGTTTTATGACTCTTCCGTAAGGGACAAACACATCCGAATCCCTGCGATAGGAAATCGTCCAGTTCAGGTGGTCCTTTAAAGAAACCAGAATTTCACGTGGAGTTTGGGGAGGGGGTTCGAGGCTGAAAATGGCCCAAATCTGCCCAGGTTTTCGAGATTTAGGGACATCGTTCAGATCTATGTCCCGCCAGTGAAACGCAACTACGTCGCTATGGGCCAAATATTTGCGATTTGAGGTCACGCGACAGCTAAATTTACACTTCTCATCATTCCGATTTGGTAAAGGCCAGTGTATGTTGTGGAAATATCTCGTCCACAGAAGGACCGTTTTTCTTCCACTTTGTGGAACCTGTGACCATACAGGCTTGATTCCGTTGGTCGAAGGGCGCCATCTGGATAAGGAAAAAACAATCAGTCCTACGGTTCCTGTCATAAAAATGAGATGTATATATTTAAGTTTTCCCATCTTTCGATTGGTTAACTTTTCTCCAGGTTTATCCTAGTAACGTTGAAGCCCGTAGTTAAACGTAGATCACTACTTGTGTGCTATAAATGAAAATAAAAGAAAATCATAAAAGGAGGGATATGTTAGTAGAATAACGATGCACTTCCACCTTTATATACATGTTTTTGATCCAATATTTAAATAAACTTGTTTTTTTTTTAGAGATATTCCAAGTTTGGTGGTAAAATTTAATATACAACGTAATAACCAATGATAATACTAGGTCGTATGACTCCACAAACTAAAAAGCGTGATACCAAACTATAATATCTGGTCGTATGGCTCCACAAACCAATAAAAACTAGGTTAGGCCTTGTTTAGGATCGTCATGATTATTAAAAGGATTACCCGAGTGCAATGGACGGATAGAATTTTAATTTTACCCCAAAATGTAATAAACACCTGAAATAAGTGTAATAACCTTCAGTGTTTGTGACGTTAAAGTCTATTGTAAAGGGTATTATTCTCCCCCCCCCCACCCCACACACACACACTTCCGTCCATCTTGGATATACAGATTAATGCAGTAGTCAGTATACGATTTTCTTTTTAAATCAACGGTGGGCAGCATAACTTACAAGATTAGTCTAGTTTTAAAATTTAAAACGGGATAACAAGAATAATTCTTGATATACTAGTGACCAAAACTTGAATTATCCACAACAGATATCTTTATGACGATGAACAAACTGACAAAAACTTTAAAAGGCACTGTACTACTTTCAGTTACAATGTCAATATGAAACAGCATTCAAAAGTGAACAATTACTCAATGTTTCATTTTTCTCATCACTTTAAAAAAAAGGGGGGAGGGGGCTATTTCGCATTTAGTCCAAACACCCTTACTTCTTAGCATTTCCCATTTAGTCCAAAACGCTCTAGCCTTGTGGATTCCGGGCACTGCCCGTTTAGTACATTTACATCTTAGCATCAGAGCGTTTATTGTTTACACGCTAGGTGTTTAGTAGGTGCCAAAGCACAGACTGTCCTCCCTTCAATAGTGGTGTTCCATTGCACTTGTAGCACGCTATCCGATTGGATAAATACGATCTACATATCATAGGGCGGCAGACCAGCCCAAACAAAAAAAAACAAAACATTTTACTATTTATTTTATTTCGTATCTTTCTCATTAATATCTTTTATATCGTATTTTATTTATCTATATTTTGACACCAGGTACCAAATGTAAACAAGATACTTTTAATTCTGCCACTTCTACTATTATTGAATGTCTTAACAACGGCCTTGACACAAGACTCTACTACTCCTTTTCCAGGCAAAAACATCCCGCATTTAGACCAAAACATTTTGTAGCACCCGACATTTCACACTTTTATATTTTACAAAAAATAAAACACAACAACGAAACATTCTAAGTAAATTTCTAACGAAATAATATTATAAACATTTAACACAATTATTAGACTAGTTTACACCAACATACGTAAGTTAACTGTCCAATGCTAAAGAGAAGTATATGAATCAAATTAAAGTGGGGGGGGGGGGTGTATAAGGTTTATTTGACTGAGCGAATCGAGGGAAAATGCAACACGGATACACCCAATACTGCTGTAGTCCAGGGATCGCCTTATGGCCCCAGAAGCTATTGGATCCTGGATTAAACTTTGTGTATTATCCCGCTTTTCCTGAAAATTATTTTTTTTTTAAATTTTAATACATTTTCTACGAGGACAGATTATAAATTGACTCCCCACTGATACTGCTAAGGCACGGTAACGTTGAACTGAAAGTTATTACATTACCGGCCTTCACATATAGTCCACATGCTCGACATTAACAGTTTAAAACCACAACGGTAAGTCCAACACGTTTTAAAGTTGAAAACCTAGAAGAAAAAATAAATTAACTCATCGTAAGTTAACTTACATTGTTGTTCAATATTACTCTACATTCCTGCATTTTGTCGAGTCAAACCTAATATTTGAACACGACATTTGAAAAGTAACTGAACCTTGTTTACCACGTCCTCTGCTGTACTCAGAATTCACATTTCCTCAGAACCGGTTGATACTGGTTGAGTTTCTAACCACGCAATTTCTAGCGGCGGTTTCGAGCTCAGATTATGACAAACAACTTTGTCGGGAGGGTATTAATATCCTAAGAAGATGTTTGATCAATTAAAAAATTCTATACTTAACATTTCAGTGATACTTGAAATAGTTTTACCAATTATTACTTAAAATACATTTTTAACCCTACTTCAGAATGATGGTCGATTTGATACTCATATTCGCCTGGCGTACCTCGAGTGAACAAGTGAGAGGGATCTTTTTCATCACATGATTAATCTTAATTAGATGTTGCGGTTATAAAAATTAAAATCAGTTGTTTAGTAAACATCATGACGTAGTAAAGAATTACTTAAATATTTATAGACCTTAAAATTAAGTTCTTAATTAACTTTAGTTTTATAGATCATTAAGTTGTTTTGAATGACACTCGAGTAAGCTCAGGGAAACTGCAATTTAGACGCTAGTACTTATAATAGTAATTAAAAAGTGAACGATTTAAGTAATATAAGATTATTTAGTTTAATAAATCAAACTGGTAATTTCCCAACATCTTACACGTCATATTCTTACAGAATCGATTTAATAAAATGTGCAAGATTTTTTGCCAATTACGATCTGTTGTGTTACAGGCGCGCAGTTGATAAGCGCACAATTTAAATTAAATCTGCTTAAAGCAATTCCACAAACACACTTTGTGTAGTCGACTGAAAGGTAAGAGAAGTCTTATTTAAATTATATTCAGTTTAAAACTTAGCGGCGTTTAATAGAAAAATTGTGATTTCATCCCAGAATTAAATAAACATTTTAATTGATCTTAAAAGAAGCTACGCCACCTTACTTTTACAGTAAACTTTAACTATTTTGTCTAGCATTAAACAATTTGTTTAAATTAATTTGAATAAGAGGTACAGTAATTATTTTATTTTAAACTTCTGTGTACCCGTCCTTCGTACGGGTTGTGTGTATAAATAATATATTAATTTAACAATTAACAAACAAATTACTTGTACATTATTTACACTACAATTTACATTTTTTATTGTACATTATTATAACAATTAAATATAAGTTAACAAAAGATACTGTGGACCATGTGTTAACTGCGTCACTTAAGAAAAAACGGAAATATCAAATTGT